TTTATGTCAAGTGGGTTGGTTACCCACACTCGGGCAACACATGGCAAACACTGGAGGACTTGTCCCATGCACCCGAGGAGCTGAGTAAATACGGTAAACACCTCGAGGAGCCCCAAATAAAGAGCACACGCAGGGCTCCTCGCAGGAAGCCTTCTTAAGTGTGGGAGTGTAGGAGATGGTATCTCCGACGCTGTGCTGCGCGTACTGCGCGTACTGCGCGGCGCAGTGGGTCGTGACCTGTGCTGCGCTTTGCGTTTTCACGCACCGCAGGCAGGCCACCGCAGGGTATACCTGCGGGTTGCCCCCGTTCCCCCCGTTTGTCTGGAGTTCGGTTTTATCGTGAATAAACGTAAGTGCTCCCCGAGCTCACCCGTCCGCTAGAGTAGCCTAGCACCGCCCTGTTCTGCCCCGTCCTGTCTTGTCTTGTACCCCCTCCCTCCCCGTCTTGCCCCAACGTCCCAGTAGTGGACGTTACACCAACGCACCGTCGATCATCGCATCGACATCGAACCAGGCTCGTCGCCTCCGTCAAGACCGACGTACCAACTGTCGCTGACGGAGATGGACGAACTCAAGCGCCAGTTGGATGACCTCCTCGCCCATGGGTTCATCCGCCCGAGCCAGTCACCGTATGGTGCACCAGTGCTCTTTGTCAAGAAGAAAGAAGGTGATCTCAGGATGTGCGTCGACTATCGCGCACTAAACAAACAGACCATCAAGAACACCTACCCGTTGCCCAGGATCGACGAGTTGATGGATCGTCTGAGTGGAGCAAAGGTCTTTAGCAAGATAGACCTCCGCTCAGGCTACCATCAGATCCGCATCCACGAGGATGATGTCCACAAGACCGCCTTCAGGACTCGCTACGGACTGTACGAGTTCCTAGTGCTGCCGTTCGGATTGACGAACGCACCTGCCACGTTCATGCAGCTGATGAACGATGTGTTCCGCCAAGAGCTCGACAACTCTGTCATCGTGTACCTGGATGATATCCTTGTGTACAGCAAGGATGAAGCGACCCATGAAGGTCATGTCGCCCGCGTGCTGGCCAAGCTACGCGAGCACAAGTTGTATGCCAAACTGTCCAAGTGTGAGTTCTTCAAGAATCAAGTCCCGTTCCTGGGACACGTTGTCTCAGGAAGAGGAATCGAAGTCGACCCCGCCAAGGTCAAGTCTGTGGTCGAGTGGCCGCCGCTCGCATGCGTCTCTGACGTGCAGTCGTTTCTCGGTCTCGTCAACTACTACCGCCGATTCATCCCCGATCTGGCGCGCACTGCCGGTCCACTCACAGACCTACTCCGCAAAGAGTGCCCCTTCGTGTGGGACCACCCACAACGCCAAGCGTTCGAGACCCTCAAGCACGCCTTGACGAACGCTCCTGTCCTCGCTGTGTTCGACCCGAACACGGATGTCTCCGTGCACACCGACGCCTCCGACTTTGCGGTGGGAGCTGTTTTGATGCAGGAGGGAAGGCCCGTTGCCTTCGAGTCGCGCAAACTGTCCCAACACGAGATCAACTATCCCGTGCACGAGAAGGAGCAGCTTGCGATCATCTACGCGCTGCAGAAGTTCCGAGTGTACCTCCACGGTACCGCCAAGCCCTTCAAGATTGTGACGGACCACCAGTCACTGCGTTACCTCGACACCAAGAAGAACCTGAGCCGACGCCAAGCGCGATGGATGGAGTTCCTCGCCGAGTACAACTACGAGGTTGTATACCAGAAAGGCAAACTCAATGTGGTGCCTGACGCACTGTCCCGACGCCCCGACTACCAATTGGCGTCACTGTACGAGTCGACTGTCAGTGTCGACAACACGATGCTGGATGTTGTCCGAGACAACATCGCCAACGACAAACAGTTCGGAGAACTGTTCCGAAAGGTGTCTAAGCTCCCCAAGGACGACGAATCATCCGAGTACACAGTGCGTGATGGCCTGCTCCTCCTGAAGAAGGACAGCCGTGTCTGTGTGCCGGACATTCCGTCGTTGAAGACCAAGTTGCTCCAAGAGGTCCACGACTCGCCCCTCGCTGGACACTTTGGAGTCGAGAAGACATACGACCGACTGGCCAAAGTCGCATACTGGCCTGGAATGAAGCGCACCGTCGAGAAGTACATCGAGTCCTGCCATACCTGCAAGATGGTCAAGTCACGCACGACCCGAGAGCAAGGATTGCTGCAACCCCTGCCTGTTCCCGACCGCCCCTGGACCAGCATGTCCATGGATCTCATCACGCATCTACCGACGACCAAGTTGGACCACGATGCAATCGCTGTCTTTGTCGACAGGTTCAGCAAGATGGCACACTTTGTGCCGTGCCAGACGACATGCTCCGCGCCTGACCTTGCACTGCTGTTCTTCAAGCATGTGTTCAAGCACCACGGCCTCCCAAAGTCCATCGTCAGTGATCGAGACCCCCGATTCACCTCCTTGTTTTGGACAAGTCTGTTCGACCATCTCGGCACCAAGCTGAACATGTCAACCTCGCACCACCAACAAACGGATGGACAGTCCGAGCGGACGATCCGCACCCTCGAGCAATACCTGAGGACATACGCCTCGACCAGCCAAGACGACTGGGACATACAGCTGAGTCATGCAGAGTTTGCATACAACACCGCCAAGTCGAGCACAACTGGCTTGAGCCCCTTTGAGGCGCTCTACGGATTCCAGCCTGATGTTCCCACCTCCTTGACACTGACCGAGTCCACGGCTGGATTGCCTCCCAAACCAAGTGCCTTTGTCAAAGATCATCAAGTCCGACACAAGATGATCGCCGACGCGCTCACGGATGCGCAACAAGTGATGGCGAAGTACTACGACCGCCGACACCAGGATGTCTCCTTTGAAGTTGGAGACCTTGTCTACCTGGACGCCGACAACATCAAGGTCCCCGAAGCCCAGTCAAAGAAGTTGTTGCCCAAGTACCGAGGACCGTTCAAGATAGCGGCCCGACCCAGTCCCCTCAACTACCTGTTGGACTTGCCACCTGGAAGCAAGCTCCATCCTGTCTTCCATGTGTCCAAGCTGCGTCGCCACACGACCCGCAGTCCAGCACAGTTCCCCGACGCCGACGAAGGTGTCCCGGACGACGCACCACTGGAAGACGACCTCGGACAATACTATACTCAAGAATATGAAGTCGAAAGGATCGTGAGGCACAAGAAAGTGGCTGATGGGTCACTTCGGTTTTATGTCAAGTGGGTTGGTTACCCACACTCGGGCAACACATGGCAAACACTGGAGGACTTGTCCCATGCACCCGAGGAGCTGAGTAAATACGGTAAACACCTCGAGGAGCCCCAAATAAAGAGCACACGCAGGGCTCCTCGCAGGAAGCCTTCTTAAGTGTGGGAGTGTAGGAGATGGTATCTCCGACGCTGTGCTGCGCGTACTGCGCGTACTGCGCGGCGCAGTGGGTCGTGACCTGTGCTGCGCTTTGCGTTTTCACGCACCGCAGGCAGGCCACCGCAGGGTATACCTGCGGGTTGCCCCCGTTCCCCCCGTTTGTCTGGAGTTCGGTTTTATCGTGAATAAACGTAAGTGCTCCCCGAGCTCACCCGTCCGCTAGAGTAGCCTAGCACCGCCCTGTTCTGCCCCGTCCTGTCTTGTCTTGTACCCCCTCCCTCCCCGTCTTGCCCCAACGTCCCAGTAGTGGACGTTACAGGACCACGATGCAATCGCTGTCTTTGTCGACAGGTTCAGCAAGATGGCACACTTTGTGCCGTGCCAGACGACATGCTCCGCGCCTGACCTTGCACTGCTGTTCTTCAAGCATGTGTTCAAGCACCACGGCCTCCCAAAGTCCATCGTCAGTGATCGAGACCCCCGATTCACCTCCTTGTTTTGGACAAGTCTGTTCGACCATCTCGGCACCAAGCTGAACATGTCAACCTCGCACCACCAACAAACGGATGGACAGTCCGAGCGGACGATCCGCACCCTCGAGCAATACCTGAGGACATACGCCTCGACCAGCCAAGACGACTGGGACATACAGCTGAGTCATGCAGAGTTTGCATACAACACCGCCAAGTCGAGCACAACTGGCTTGAGCCCCTTTGAGGCGCTCTACGGATTCCAGCCTGATGTTCCCACCTCCTTGACACTGACCGAGTCCACGGCTGGATTGCCTCCCAAACCAAGTGCCTTTGTCAAAGATCATCAAGTCCGACACAAGATGATCGCCGACGCGCTCACGGATGCGCAACAAGTGATGGCGAAGTACTACGACCGCCGACACCAGGATGTCTCCTTTGAAGTTGGAGACCTTGTCTACCTGGACGCCGACAACATCAAGGTCCCCGAAGCCCAGTCAAAGAAGTTGTTGCCCAAGTACCGAGGACCGTTCAAGATAGCGGCCCGACCCAGTCCCCTCAACTACCTGTTGGACTTGCCACCTGGAAGCAAGCTCCATCCTGTCTTCCATGTGTCCAAGCTGCGTCGCCACACGACCCGCAGTCCAGCACAGTTCCCCGACGCCGACGAAGGTGTCCCGGACGACGCACCACTGGAAGACGACCTCGGACAATACTATACTCAAGAATATGAAGTCGAAAGGATCGTGAGGCACAAGAAAGTGGCTGATGGGTCACTTCGGTTTTATGTCAAGTGGGTTGGTTACCCACACTCGGGCAACACATGGCAAACACTGGAGGACTTGTCCCATGCACCCGAGGAGCTGAGTAAATACGGTAAACACCTCGAGGAGCCCCAAATAAAGAGCACACGCAGGGCTCCTCGCAGGAAGCCTTCTTAAGTGTGGGAGTGTAGGAGATGGTATCTCCGACGCTGTGCTGCGCGTACTGCGCGTACTGCGCGGCGCAGTGGGTCGTGACCTGTGCTGCGCTTTGCGTTTTCACGCACCGCAGGCAGGCCACCGCAGGGTATACCTGCGGGTTGCCCCCGTTCCCCCCGTTTGTCTGGAGTTCGGTTTTATCGTGAATAAACGTAAGTGCTCCCCGAGCTCACCCGTCCGCTAGAGTAGCCTAGCACCGCCCTGTTCTGCCCCGTCCTGTCTTGTCTTGTACCCCCTCCCTCCCCGTCTTGCCCCAACGTCCCAGTAGTGGACGTTACATGTCGACTCATGGGAATGCCGGATGCGGTGTGAACGCTGTGTGGCCACCAAGCTCGATGGTCGACGCTGCACACGCACGACCTGCATTGGGGTCAAATACTGCTACTCCCATCTGGCGACGGTGAAAAACCTGCGCATCGACGACTCCACCATCCCAGGCGCAGGAAAGGGGCTGTTCGCATACAAGCATGTGCCCGCGAGCGTCTACGATGACGAAGAGCGCGAAAGGCTCGAGAATGCAGTCCTGTTCAAGAGAGGCCAAGTGATCATCGAGTACGATGGGCAGCCCATCCCTGGCCAAGAAAGACGTTCCCGATACGGGAACACCAACGCCCCATACCTCGTTGAACGCCGAATCGGGCTCAACGCGGGACGCTATGAAGATGGTGCATGCCGGAGAGGAATCGGAACGCTCGCCAACCACTCGGAAGACGGCAACGATGTCAACGCAAAGCTCGCCCAGGACAGGGGAGTCGGGGTGGTGCTGAAGGCACTCCGGGACATTCATAATGGAGAAGAAATCTTTATTGATTATGGCGGTGCCTTTGGGCTGGACGACGAAGATGCAGTGTTTGGTACGAAGCGCAAGACCAACACACGCGAGCGAATCGCACGAAGCAGGACATGAAGGGCCTGGCACTCAGTCCTTGGAGATCCAGGCGGGCATCTCCCTGCCAGGAGCAAGGTAACGCAACATGAGTGCAATCACAGCTTGGTCGAACCCACCATCTTCCACACATGCCATGGTCACTGGATCGACAGTGATGTTTTGTGCCAGATTGATCACGATGCTCTCCTTGGCGCAGACCTCATCCCCCACGAGGCGAAACGAGCCGGGCCACGAGTCGACACTGACGATCGTCTTGATTCGCCCCATGTCGAAAGGCACATCCCCCATGGCTCGGTGGTCGAGTTGGATTGAGGTGACCGATGTGAGAGTGGGGATGTGGCTGGTCTTGACGATGAATTGCGAGCTCTTGAGTCCTTCGCCCAGAATGCAGGTGGCACCAGCGTCCAGGGCCTCGGTCACAAGCTCCTTGACATGGGCACCGCTGGGAGGGTTGATCCGCGAGACCAGCCTATTGCCTGGGACGCTCAGGATGCGCGAGCCCAATGCATGCTGGATCAGACGCAGGAGCAGGCGCTTGCCATGATTTTGGTCGTTCCCCACCAAGAAGAGAGCTGACTCGGACGTACGAGATTTGGCGGTGAGGCATGTTGCCAGGAAACGCAAGAGCAGGTGGTACTCTCTATCACTGCTCTTGCCCAGCATCGAGCGAATTATCTCCTCCAGCTTGTAGACTTTGCCATCGACGCCACAATAAAAGTCGTCAACCACGTACGAGACTGGAAGCGAGTGGGTGAAGCAGTCACCAGCATTGACCCGACGAGCCTTGAGGCCAGGCAGCTCCAGCACAATCCCATTGGCGAAGAGGATGGTGTTGGTCGATGCATTGGCGTGGGTGATGGCAAAGGTCTCGATGTTGAATTTTTCGTGCTGGAACGCCAGGGCGAATCTGTACCTGTCTTTGATGATGTCTGGGATGCTTCCCAGAGTGTGCTTGATCTCCTTGACCACTTCCTTGGCATGTTTGAGCTTGTTCGAGCTGGCATACCTTGCTCGAACCACTTCGACCCACCCCTGGAAGGCGCCCTGGGGATCAGTGAGAAGCTTGGTCAGGGCGTAGTCCAGATCCACATGCTTCCAGAGGAGCCCATCAAAGAACCAGATCTTGTGGGTCTTGGTTGCATGGGGCTCGGCGTGAAGAACTTGGTGTGGAACCAGGCCTCGGAGGATGTGGGTGATCGATGGAAGCGAGCCCAGGGCAGCCATCTTGATGGAGATGTTCAAGATGCTGTCATTTGGGAAGAGCACGACACCATCATCCAGAATATCGCTGCTCAGGCCCACGAACACCTCGGTCAACTCGTTGGACATTGTTGCACTCTAACTCTGGTACGCGATCTTTGTTTGGCCCATCCTGACGCAGATCGCGTTTCAGCGATGAAGCGCAAGAACAACCCACCCAAACCACCCCAACCACGCAGTACCTATGACCGGACCAGAATGCCTACGATCCAGACGACTGCGCGTCGCCCAAGATCCCAACGACGCCAGCACCTATGGCCCAGGTGGATGCGCGATTTTTGCGCCGGGGCGCGAGACCACGTGAATCATCCACGTGACCACAGATCTGGCGGCAATCGACCATTCACACCCCAGGAACGCCGTGATCACATGACCCTGCCATCCATCCCGGTCACGCCGGGCAAACGACACGGGCAGGAATCGAACCTGGTGCATCGAAATGGGTGTACCTTGTGTAACCCCAAACGGCAGTAAGCAAATCGCCACCACAGAGAGCGTGGGCGGCCCACAAGCCAACCAACACACACACCACCATGCACCGCCACACAATCGAGTGACACAAACGCGCCAAGCTGGCCAATGGGATGTTGAGGGCTGTCCACTCAGGTGAGATAGAGCTGCAAACCCATTGTTTGTGTAGCCGGGGTGTCTATTATGGATTTTCCTGGGCTGTCCTTGCATAGCAAAACAAAATTTTGATTCAGAAACAAAATGTGTTTTTCGGGTGTTTTGAAAACAGGCCTTTTTTCAATAATAGACAGCCCGATTACATACTTAAGGAGCAAAACAACAGCCCGAAACAGCCCGAAACAGCCGAGGACCAACCATGAAGGGGTTACAGACAACACAAACACACAGATGGGGGTGAATCACAGCAACACCAATGCGGGCTTCGCTTGCTGCTCGCTCGAACGACAACCACCAGACTTCCATAGATGGAAAACGGAAAGCGGAGCATCGCCTGGCTGCGCTGGATACCTGGACACAGCAAGAGCCGACGAACGCCGGCGAGAAGCATGGTCTCGCCATACCACTGCAGGAAACCCACAAGCTTGTAGCGAACACAGAGACAACGCAAAACCCAGCCCCTGCATCGAACCACCCAAAATGCGAGTCTCGCCACTCGCGTATGGCGACCGGGGCATACCCCCAACCCACCATCACCCATGGCCCAGACCATGGCTGCCCTCCAACACACGCGAACGGAATCTCCTCGGAATCTTTTTATATATGAATAGGAATCTTTTAGGAATCTTTTATAGTGTATTTCATATCAAATAGGAATCTATAGACCAAAAGTCGAGCCTAGGGAGGGCAAAAACAAAACGACAAAATGACAAAACGACAAAAACCCCTAACCCCGTCACAACGCATTGGCCACGACATCGGTTTGTCATTTTGTCATTTTGTATTTGGCTCCCCGGGGAGGACTTTACCCCAGAGATTCCCATTTGATATGAAACACATAATAAAAGATTCCGAAAAGATTCCTTTTCATATGAGAAAGATTCCGCCGAGATTCCTACCACACACACACACACACACACACCACCAGGGCTGCCTACCTGTACACACAATGAGCCCAGTCTCGCCATACCACTGCAGGAAACCCACAAGCCTATAGCGATCACAGAGACAACGCAAAACCCAGCCCCTGCATCGAACCACCCAAAATGCAAGTCTCGCCACCCGCGCATCGCAACCAGGGATACCACCAAGCACTCAGCACCCCAGACGGACACACGAATACGCGAGAACCAACCAACCCACCCAAACCACCCGACCCAACGAACAACACCGAACCCCAACGAACACCCAGATAGCCCAGATACCCAAAATACCCCAGATATGTAATCCGCCACACTGCGCACCCGAAAACCAAGCCACACCACCGTCTCCCTCAGCAACATAAAAGCAGCAGCATCCCCGCCTCCATCAGCAAATCCACTCTCACCCGAAGAACACCGCCTACCCCGACGACACCCAAGTACACCCAAGTACTACAATTCCCACGACTACCCCGACTACTCCCAAGTACCCCACCAAACCCGACTCCCACGCCCAACCCGCCCCTCACAACCCTAACCTAACCTAACCTAGGTTAACCTAATTACCCACCCAATACACCAAATACACCGAATACACCAACTATAACTACTATAACGAATACACCTAATACACCAACTATAACTACTATAACAAATACACCGAATATACCAAATACACCAAATATAACTACTATAACATATACACTTAATACACCCCACCCCACCCCTCCCCACGTCCACCCCTACTACCCCGACTACACCAACCCTACCATCCCCCTCGTCTACCCCCTATACAATCGTATACGCCAACCCTACCGTCCTCTGCACCACCTCCCCACGTCTACCCCTACCCCTCCTCTTCCCTTAGGTTAGCCAGCTATACCGTTTTCCACATATCCGTCATCTCTCAAAAACGGTATAGTTACCGATATACCCCTATACTACTGGTGCTTCTCTCGGGCCATGAAGGACAGGATACCACCGGCGACGATAGACTCGCCAGAAGTCAATCAAGATGATTCAGGATCACAGCGAGGACCACAGCGAGCATCTTTCGAGCACAGAGGATACGCACAGCAAGCTGATCGTCGGTGAGAAGCAGACGATGCCTCGGACCAGCCAGAGTTGCTGGATCGAACGAGACAGCCAACATCACAGCAAGAATGCACAGCGAAGACCGAGCAGGGACTGTGGCAAGAGCACGAGCAGGATACGGACATTCTGCTGGTCCTGGCTGCAGGTAGCCTGCCTCAGAGACGGGGGCTGGGGACAGCCAGAGGCATCGATCAGCAGCCAATCTGAGGGAGGGACGAGTCCGGGGAACTGTTGGGCAGATGAGGGGAAAGGACAATGGCGCGGCCATCCAAGGCGCGGATCGGGAGTTGAGATGCCTGCGAGCGAGTGAGCGAGCAAGCAGCTTGTGTCGACGGCAGCCGGGAATGTCAAGAACTGCCGGGCAGTACTGCAGGCAGCACGCCCGCTCGTCTGCGGCTCAGGTATGTGTATCTACAGCTGGCGAATGCAGCAGCGTCGACGCTGGGGAGCCAAAGTATGTCGAGTTCAAGGCAGTCCCAGCAAACATGGTGTCGGGAATGAGTTCCCCGGCTCGCTCTGGCGGTGTCAATCTCACGGAATCAACCTCAACAGCAAAGAATCACCATCATGCAAGGGCCGAGGCGGCCGGTGTCTGTATCAGGCAACTCACTCACCCCCAGCACAAGTACCGACCAGCACAGGAAGTGCCGTGCATTCATGACCAAGAGCATTCCAGCCAGCTGCCCCAGGAAATGGACCATTATGAACCCTGTATCTGCTCGGGACGGAGTCACCCGGATGTCTTGCTCGACAGGTGGCAGCCACAGTGCATTATGACATAGCTGACAGCTGACTGGCACAACGGACTGGCACAACTTCATATCGCAGCAGTGCAGAACGACCGGGATACCAATGGCAATGCTCTCACAGACGATGCATTTCTCCAAGGAACACTTCTTTCACCATCACCACCACCAGCAGCAGTGCATTCTATGCCACAACTTCGAAGATGCAACTGACCATCGGATGACGAATGAATGGATGGACGTATATTCGGGTCCAGAAACAAAAGTGGCCATCTGTCACATATATAGGGCTATCCTCACCATCCCTTTCCCCCCTGCTTTACTTGGTGGGCGGCGCCGAGCTTGTCTATGTCGTCCTCACCGAGCAAAAGTCGTTGAAATAGCGCTCGCCAAGGATAAAGTACGAGTTGACGGGGTTCAGAGAAAGCACCTCATGGAACCCATCGAGAATGTCGGGATACACCTCGTCGCCCTGGGAGGTCATCAGGGTCAAGGCCGACAGGAAGGGCAGTCGCTCGATGGTCTCGGTCAGGGCGCTGCGAGAGATGGTATGCGGATCATCCGTCTGCCTCATGATGGCATCGTCTTCGCTGTCGTGGTCGAGGAGCTCCAAGCGAAGTGAGTGAAGAATCGGGGTC